ATTCTATGATTCTAAGTTTTGTGCTGTCCAGTTAATATGTACAATGCTGTACTGTAATCTTAAGGTAATACCCGTCTGACAATAAGTATTTCCTTCTTTCTTTTTTCCTGGCCCTCAAAAGACTGCAGCATGTTCTCAACAAGTGTGTGAGCTGTGTGAAGCAAGGAGTAAATTTAATGACGAGAATGGAAATAAACATAGTTCGGGCCAAACAGGGAAGCTAACGAAGTATGTGCCAAGATGTAAGAGAAACAAGAAGGGGGAGGAAAGATAAGATGTTATTTAAAATTAAGTTCTTGGGCTGGTTTTGTGAAAAAGTTAAAGGACAAAAAGAAATAAGGAGTCTTGTGGTATAGGTAATGACCTAGAGCTTTTTTAACCTTTTTCTGCATCATTTCAGTTCAGAAATTTGGGAGAAGTTTTTTCTAGCTGTGCCTCTCCTAACATCTTCCTCCTTGTTCTTGCACTTTGTGGTATTCCTGTGGCTTCCAAAATATGGGTTATTAGAGGCGTGTGATTCTCTGCTTATTTCACCTTAATTCCATGATTGATAAATTAGAAAGCATTCCAAGTGCAGATTAGATCAGTCTCTTTCACAATTTGTCTTTCTTTCAGGTTCTTTCAGAACTTTAAGTGCCATCTCTTTTATCCTTTACATACAGTTAACTGTACTGTTAGATTAATGTTTCATTCTAGGAGGTTTGGGAAGTGGATTCAAAATTTATCTAAGCTCCAGATCATTTCAGTTTCAGTCTTGCAAAAGGTAACAAGTGTGAACAAGGAATTTGAGCCCATCAGATTTAAAGTCTTAGAGCAGAGGCTTTTCTGTGTTGACATTCTGCATCTAGAATACTGACTAAAATGAAGATGCATTCTTTTTTGTATTAGTCTCATCACAGAGTAAAGAAGGAAGAAGCTTCTGATATTTATTATTTGTTTTTGTGGAACTTGTTAGTCTTAAGTGTATGTATTGTGTTTCTCTTAGAGTAGAGAAACGTAAGGATATCGGTAATGTATCTTGTTTCAAAGACTAGCAGACTATGTGTAACTTTTCAACTTGTTCAGATACCTGCATATATGGTGGTTTGGGTTTTTTTTACAATATTGGCTAATGTTCCAAGAACTGTACACTCAAGCCATTTTAGAAATGTGAAACATTAATTCGGGATAACTGTTACAACATAGTGAAGAAAGTAATCCAAACCACTGAGAGCAAATCGTCAAACTGATTATTCTCTTCAGATTTGTCTAGGCAGGATTCATTTGAAAAACAGTTTAGCAGTACTGGGTTGACTGGTGTTTGCTGTCTAAATAAATAACAAAAGAGCTTGTTTTCTCTTAGTTATACAAAGAGGTGCAGTAGTGTTGAGATTAGGATGTCAGAATGGATTCTACCTAATGGTTGTCTAGTGAGGAACATGCAGCAGCTTGGACAAGCAAGGGAACTGGAACTCAAGTGAATGACATTAAAGGACTGTGCAGGTGGGTGGGTGAATTCCAAACATGAACAATTAATTCATCCTGTGTTGGGTTATACCCTCCTAGGTTCTTCATGACTCTGGAGTCAGGCTTCTGTGTCACCCAGTTTCTTTTTCTATAGTATAACCTTACCCATGAGAGCCGGCTACATGTGCAGGATGCCAAAGATCTTTTTGGCATATACCATGTTTGGGATTAATATTTTGTACAATTGCCTACTCTTTTATTCGGTAAAAGTAAAGAGATTTAAGCTGTTTAATCTGAATTTCTGCTTTAACAAGTTATGAAACAGTGCTTAGTCTTCTTTGAAGTGGTTATGTTCTTTTTCGCTACTACTCAAGTGGCATTTGTGACTTCTTCATAGACATGCTTAAAACTGTGGAGCAGCTATGTGGAATTCTTTACATGTTTTTGATGTAGCCCTTCTCGTCATAGCTTCAAGGTCAGATAGTCAGTTTACCAAGGCACTCAATCTGTATTTCAGAATTCTACATCCTGTTTTCGTGACTGTTTCTTCCCTTTTATGTGTGACAATCTAATGTACAACAGAGATTCTGCTAACAGTGCCATTGGTGTGAACCAAGAAAGAGGTACCAGCAGCAAGTTACTACCTTGTAACATCCTCTTTGCTTTGTTTCACCCTGGGAAACAGATTGGGATTATGTTTGGGGATTTCTTTTTTTTTTTTTTTTTTTTTTTAGCCAACTGATCTGGCACAAGCATCCATCAGGTGTTGGGAGGCATTTGCAGACAAGGATGTTTTTGGAAGTGCACTGCTACCAGTGAGTTTGGTTAACTTCTGAAGGGCACTTGGAAAGGTCATAGGGAGGAAAGGTGAATTGCTATGGCATGCAGATAGATACCCATCGTTGTCTAACATGCTAATACATTGGGCATCTTTGTCTTAAATTTGGTAGCGAAAGGAAAGGAGGCAGAGCACTGTACACACTTCATAGCTTTGCTTTAAGAATGTTCTCGGATGTTGGGGGAGGGATGCTCAGATGTGTCTGCAGGTGCAGCGAGAAAGATGGGGCGCTTGTGTAAGTTGTAATGGATTGTACGTTTATTGAACATGGATTGGAGTTCTACAAGATTCTTCCTTTAAAATTCATAAATTAACAAAGTGATCTTTTTTTTTTGAGTGCCAGTCTGTGTTGCTTAGGATCATACAATGCATTCAAATTCAGATAAAGGATTACCTCAGATCAAATCTGTCTAAACATGCATACCCAGAAAACACTTTCAGAAAGTCCCCCTCCCACCCCCAAAAAAAGCTAAATTTATTTTAATTCAATTGTACAGTAGGATTTTGCCAAACCTGAAATTGTCATCCAAATGCAATGGGTATGACACTGTTTAATCAAGTTGTTATCCAAACTGATAGAAATATCTTTTTTTTTCTTCCCCAAAAAGTGACAATTGGTTTTTATTTAAGGTTATTTTTAGTCTGTATTACTTCTAGCTTTGTCATACTTATTTATACTAATCAGAGGTTAATTTATAGAAGCAAGAGGAAAATGTATGATGTTACTTAGCAGCAAATTCATGTGTTTCTACATCTTGCAACTGAAGAAATTTCTAAAATCGTACTTTTTTGCCCAAATTAATATCAAGTAACCTACAGACTCTGCATTTCTTTGTCTTTTCCATTAATTTCTTGGGTGTGTTTCTCACTGAGGATTATGAGCGACTACTAAATATAGCCTGAGATACTGTCAAGAGGAGGGAAATCACAGATAATGACTGACACAACAGTTTTAGGGAGCTGAGTGCAAAGGTGCATTTGGTGGCACTTATGAGTTTGATGGAATTTATTGTGTTTGGGTGGTCTGGCACTGAGCCTGTGTGTCTATACTGTGTGGATAATCATCTGAGGTGCAGTCCTGTGGCTGTGTGTTTATTGCATGTCCTATCACCACTGAAGTAAAAGGCAAATAAAAGTTATCCTTTCTTTGATGGAAAGTGGTGTCCTGTTTTCAGTAGTGGTAGGAATTTTACTTCTTGGTATGTACTTTATCAGACAAATTAACAATTTTTAAAGGAAGTTTTAAGCTTAATCAGTGCATAGTGAAGATAGTTATGTTGATTTTTTTTGATCAATAAAATGCATAATTTCAACTGTAACCAAACTAGACACAGTTAAAAAGCATGCAGTGGACCATGTCCCCGTTGCTACAGTGTAGTGCTGGGCTTAAGTGTCTGGCCATCCTGAATGGATATGTTCTTTTTCCCTTCTTTTTGAACCATAATTATAACTATTCAGGATTTCTGTTACAAGTACCGCTCAGTGAAAGCATTGTAGAACTGCATTCCTTATGTTCAAATTTGTTGAATGTATTTTCCACAGATCTTTCTCTAATGTTTAGTGCATTTTTTTTTTTCCACATGCTTTCCTAGACTGTACTTTTGCTGCAGTTGCTAAAGGTTACTTGGTTTAGCACAACCCTTCTGAGAGTGTTTTTGCAAAATTTAATAAGCTACTATTTGCTGTAAATCAGTCAATATGACTCCACTTTAGGATCTTATTTTAAGATCAGCATCTTGCGTGAAACTTAACTGCCTATTTTTCTCCCTTTCAGCAAGCTACATTGAGCGACCTCAGCTGATTCGAGCAAAAGTGCCAATAGTGAAGTTCAGGGATAAAGTCAGGCAAGTATTCTGTTCAGCATTAATTTATTCTCTGACATGGAGTAGTACTCTATACTGTCTATAAAAGTAGTTCCACTGAAGCCATGCTTTATTTGTATTGTACCATAGTTTTATTGCAAATTTGTACAGCTAGCTTGCATTGGCAGTCACCTTACTTCCTTGATGGTTTGAAACACCTTTTATGGTTGAGATGCTGTTTAATTTCTGTGAAATAAATTGATAGAAGTACTTCATGTATTTCTATGGCTTATTTTTACGTAGTGGACTCCAGTTGACAAATGGTTCATGACAGAAAAACAAAGGTGGGAAAAAAACTCTCGTGAAAGATAATTTTGCTTACTGTACAAATGTAACTATTGAGCTACTTAAGGACTAATTCACAGTGTTTACAGTATACAAACAACACTAAAGCGAACTTTAGTTTCTTGTGAGGATGCTGTTTTCTTGATTAGAAAAATTTTGTTCATTTTAGAAGAGCGTATTTTTGCTGTCTTCTAGGGAGGTGCTCTGTGTAGTATTACATGTTCTATTCAGTGTTAGGTACTAATTTTATGACTTTTTTTTTTAGAAGGAGGAAGTAATCGGAGAGAAGTAGTTGCGTTGTATGTTATTGTATTCATTGTATCTTCATTATGAGGACATGAAAATGAATAACCAAGAGCTATGTACTAGGACAGAGAAAAATGTATTTCTTATTGTGCGTGGTAAAGGTATCTGACAGAGGAAAAAACTGTGCAAAGCACTCGAACTGGTTGGGAGTCTGAGTAATGTTCAAATCCCATATATTTATGAGCTTAGATTTTGTAGGACTTACGTGTATCACCTTCATGTAATGATATAGCTTGACTATCTGTAAACAGGGCTTTGAACAACTCTTGTGTCTGTCTTATCCTGCCTATACACTTCTAAAATTTTGCAACCCTGTCTCTTGTTTGTTTTTTTTTTTTTAAAAAAAAACCAAACAGGCCTACTTCTCTGGCCTCTCTTTATATAAGCATATCACAGTGTGCTTTTATCACAATATACCGTTATCAGGAAAGAAACCCTGCTGTAATAAAACTGAATCTGCCATGTTTACAATTGGAATTAATACTGTCCTGGTTTTTGCTAGGATAGAGTTAATGATACGCATTTACGCTTTTATTGCATCTGGGATTAAATAACACTTGTTAGGGTTTTTGCTTTATAGGGTTTTTTCCATTTACACCTAACCCCATATTTACTTCTGTATACTTGCTTGCCCTTAAAAAATTTGGATATTTTTTTATGTAGTAACTTTCTCCTCTAACAGTACAGTACAGAATGTTGTTTCTCCCTTGCTTTCTGAAAGTATTAGACTTGTCAAGCTAAAATTTTGGTTAAATGACTTAGCTACATATAACAATGCTAGCCTTTTCATAGATACACTAAATGGTAAACTCCTGTCACAAATATTGAATAAATCATGGAGTTATAGCAAGAATATTTTTTTCCAATTTAAAATCAGAAAATAAACTTCAAAAAGAAATCTTAAATATGGAAATGATTGTCAGAAGATATATGGAAAACTATGTCAGAAGATTTAAGTCTTTTTGTAGGCATTGGTAGTCCATACTATGGTCACTTGCAAAAAAAAAAAAAGTAACAGTCATTATATTAATATACCTTACAGTAAGGATTTAAGGAATTCTTTATTTCCCACTAAATCAAAGTATAATCTTCTTAGACTAGAAGCTGCCCATTACATTTTTCAGAGAAAAAAATACAGTACTGTTCACCATCTGGTTTAATGTGTTGTTTTTTTGGAACAGTGGAGTGCGGGGCAGTGATGTGACATTGGGTTCAGGTTTGCTTGGGTTTTTTCCCTCTCTTTCTAGTTGTTTTTCTGTTACATAACCTGTCACCTCCACCCATGTTTTGTCTTTTTATTTAAGCATCTGTCTCTTTCCAAGCTCTTACTGGCCTCTGTCTTTTGTAGGCTCATACATATACATACATGCACACACATTTATTTTTTTCCACAGAGATCCTGAAAAATGGATTGGATATTCTGTACCCAGGGCACTAAGCTTGTTTTAGTCAAAACCAAAAACTAAACATGACAAGCTTCATGTGAAAGACAGTTTTCGTGATGCCTAGCTGCTTGGAGAAGATGGTAGAATTCAATGGGTGATATCTCTGCATCTAGATTCTAATGTGTTGCAGTGGTCCATATATACCTGAAAATAGCCATTTCCCACTTTGATTTGGTGAATGAGAAAGCATTCAGTTTGTGTTTGTTCTCCTTTTTCATCTTAGAGGGTTTTTTAGCACTGGAACAGTAAAGGAAGATCCATTGCACTTAAAGACTTTTTTTTTTTCCTAGCCTTTCCCAGGAAATAATGCCAATGTTGGCTCTGCTACCAGACAAGCCTTTGATTAAACTAATAAGATTTCCGTACTACAGAGGATGCAAAAGATTCCTCTTCTGCAACATTTGATGTGCAGTTGACTCTTTTTCCTCCTCTTTAGTGCTTTTGGTCATGCTTGATATTAATTCAGGTTTAAAATTATGTAGTGTTTTTGATGCAAAGAGTGTTCTCTTGTAATTAATGATGTAAAAAAAAAAAAAAAAACTTTTGTAGCGTTAGGTATGTGTTTTATCCAGTTTAATAAATTGCAGGTCTATGTTACCCTTACAGTAATTTTAGAAAATCTAAAGGAATATTCAGCCAAACAAATTCTTTGTGAATGAGACTTGGATACATAAAACAGAAATAGCTCTATATTGCAGCTACCTACTTCTTTGTCAATAAACTCTTCTTATTGCGAGTTACTGTGTTGCTATAGCTTAACTATGAATTTAATACAGTTTCTTGAGTACTGCAAGAAATTTAATTCTATATGCAGTATGAAATTCAAACTTTAGGTCAGATTGTGATATAAATAAAGCAGATAGTGCTTGTCTGCCTTGTCCTTATTTGCTGTTAACAGCATGAAACAGTTAATAAAACTGTTTTATCACAAAACATGCAGTGTTTACTAATAAACAGTTTTAATTTCAGAGTGCTTGCTGATTAGTTCTGACCATCATTGCAGAAAAGAGATTCTTACTCTTTAATCTCTTCCAGTTCTCCTTCTCAGTTTACTGTTGTGATTTCCTAAGCTGATACCTAAAGAGAATCCTTCCTGGCATCAGACGTGGTCCATAGTAAATCATGTAGTGCAAGTGTAGTTGGGACACAGATTTGATAGAAATCCAAAACTTATTTGATATATTAAGTTGTCTCAAGGTCTATATTTGGATCTACATGTATTCGCTATGTAAAACAACAATTACATTTTTATAACAATGAAATTCAAGTCCATAAGCAGTTCAAGTGCTATAAACAAAACCAGAGTAGAAATCACAGCATCAAAACTCTGAAGAAAGTTTCTAGAGTATTAACTTAAAAGTTACATTTCTCCTTCTCTGTCACTTAAGTACGTAATAAATATTCTGAAATTGAATATCATGATGCTTGATTGTTTTTCTTTTCTCCTCCTTAATAGCTGTGTGGAGTTTGACTTGAATGTAAACAATATTGTAGGAATAAGAAATACATTCCTTCTGAGAACCTATGCATACAGTAAGTTTTTAATATATTTACTTATTTCTATAAACTTTGGGTTTTAAATTTGTATTTTGGTATTGATCGAATATTAAAATTCAGTTGAATATATTAGGTTACTATGTATATAATTACCAAATGAGCTGCGTCAGATAGCTGCAGAATACTGAAGCAGCCCTTGTAGCAGATATGAGGACCTTGATATGAAGAATATTTGTTCTCTTCTGAATATTATAATATTAAATTAAAACATACCTAGCTGATATATCAGTTTTCTCTGTATATTTAGAGTGAGCAACAAGAAGTGATCTTAAAGCTAACGAGATCACTGTAGTAATGATTATGCAGTGGTGTAATCTCCAGGTTATTTTATTTCCTTATGGCCACTGATAGGTGTGTGTAGCTAATAGCCAGTTGTGTCTGTATGCTGTTACAGAGTCTTTCCTTGGAAAATCCAAAATGCTGCTTCAGTTCTTATACTATCCCAAAACAAAACTGGTTTCATAGAATGTTGTGAGTTGGTAGGGACCCACAAGGATCAGCAAGTCCAACTCTTGCCTGAGAATAGGACAATCCCAAGATTCAGACCATGTGTCTGAGGGCCTTGTCCAAATGCTTTTTTAATATTGTCAAGCTTGGTGCCATGACCACCTCCCTGGGGAGTTTTTTTTTTTCTGCTACATCACTTCAGTTGCATCAACACCCAGGAATACACAAAAGGATATGTGTTTGTCTCCTTAGGAATTTGCATTTCAGGGAGAGACTCTGAAACAGACTTCTGAAGGGCAAGCAATAAGAACAGCACTCTTACTGCTAAATTAAGGTTTTCTTACTTAGCATTACAATGTAATTTGGCAGATAAATACATAAGGAGTGGACCTCAGGCCAATTCTTCTAGGCCATTTGCAGTTCTTCCTTTACCACCACCTTCAGTTCTTGCATACAGGAATTCTGTTCTATTTAGGGTATGGAGTTATCAGTGGAAGTTACCTTTACTAGTTAATTTTTACTAATATTTCAGTTAGAGTAGTTTCAATGTTCCACATTGGCATGACTAGGAGAGTCTACAGCTTGTCCTGGATGAGTTGGTTAACTGTCATTTCTTCATACATCCAGGAAGGCATATGCCTGGAGAAGGATTTCCTTCCAAGCTTAAAAATGTTAGGGAAATAATCTTTGTCAGTCATGGCTACAGGTGAGGGGTCACTTCACCAAGTCTAATGTTAACTTCCAACTTCTGCCACAGATTTCCCTTATTCCTCTCAGCAAATCACTATAGGGCAGACAAGACTGCAGATGTGAAAAGAGAAGTGGAAGGGGTCCTAGTGTCTGACCTTTTCTTCCATTCTGCCTTGGTGCCCACTTTGAAAAGGCCAGCAAAATTAACTTTGTCTCCTGATGAAGGATAAATATTGTTATTTTCTTGAGGTCAAGGAGTGAGTTAGTAGCTAAGTAACACTTGTGATGGAAAATATTATCTCCTCAATGTACTAGACCTTCTTAAATAGGCAAACCTTATCAAGCATAGTTGTCGTATTTGACTAGAAAGCTCTCAGGTGACATAGGGCAAACAAAAGTAAATGGAAGCTTTTATCAGATAGTCTCTTTAAATATTTTTAGAAGTTGTATCAACCAGGGTGGATAGCATTAAAAGTATGAGCCTGCTCACTTAAATTTGTGGCTGAAGGGCTCCACCCTGCGTGAGAGAAAAAAAAAAGATTAAGTTACTTCTCATGTGGAAGATTTATAAGTCTCTTTGTTCCATTAGAACGAATTAGATGTTTGGGCAAACGAGAAACTGGTTATCTTAGTGAGCATGATTTAATAACAAAAAAAATCATAAATATTTCTGTGGATGCTCTTGTGTCTTTTTTGAAATTAGACCTTCTATGTTGGTGCATAGGTGCTGTAGAAAACATCAAAGATGATATGCCAAAGTGAAGCAGAAAATCCACAGAAAATGTTAGATTAAGCAGAGCTCGAAACTGAAGTCTGTGCTGTTGTGTTATCAGTTGTTTGCCATGTCTGCAATTAAATCAGCAATTGATGGTAGGTATTTTTCAATTAGTGGAAGCTGGACCTTTGAGCAAGTGACATTACTGGCTGAGCATTTTCTTGAGGGGGAAACACGTTGACTGATGAAGGAGTATCAGGAAAAGTTTACTGGCAGTGCTGTACACTAAGTTTGTTATGTACTAATTACAGGCAGTGGCAGACAGAAAACCTGATCTCAGAATAAGGTTAACTAGAAAGATCTTTTCTACCGTGTCACACACAAATTAGTCCAATGTGGAATTTGAGACTATTTTGTCTCATGAGCGCTTTTCTCTCCTGGAAAAATCTTATTTCGGTTAGTGCATGTTCATATTATATATGTATATGTATATATATGTATAGATATATATATACACAGACACACACACACAGTAATTCTGTACTAATAGTCTTTTTTTTTTTTTAGTTCAACCACTGGTGAATAATATCAGGAATGACATGACTGGTAGTAAGGAGTTTGTTTCTAAGAGGAAAAGAGTACTACATACAGAGGCATGTGTGCTGAACCACTGTGAACAGTTTGAGAAAACCACATGCTTGGTAGAATTTTCAGAATAGCAGAGTACCTCAGCTGGTGCTGTTGTAGGACGTCTGTTGTCCTGGATGCAGTGATACATTCCTGTTCAGATGTGCAGAATACAAAACTTCGCACAACATTGTCAGGTTAGAAAAGATACTCCAGAACATAGGAGGCCTTGTAAGGCCATCATAAAGCACTTGGCTGAGCTGATGATCTGCTTTTACATATCTGCAAATAATAAATTAAATACGCTGGAAGGTCCCTAGGAGGTGGTGATGAGTCACATCTCCATACAGCACATTACTACCTTAATTGGAAGACTACCTATGTTCCCCAGAAATTTGGAAGATCATACCTGGAATATGACTGTATTTATGTCTTTCCTCATAAAATGCATGTCTTTATTTAATGAGTTAATGTATCTAACATCTCATCTATGTAAAAAGCTATGGAGGACAAGGCAAATTTAAAATTAATGCTTGTATGCAGGGGTTACTGCTTTCATGTATCCCGAGGAAACCTTAAGAATGAGCGCTGTGTCCTTCAACCAGGAAAATTCTTTTCCCTAACCCCAGAGTCTATATTAACTAAATGGAGAGAAAAAAAAAAAAAAGGAAATTAGATGGGGACTATCCTGGCAGTCCCTGAAGTTAATTCAGGGAAAATGAGTACAGTGAACTGAAGAGAACTTACAAGTAGAATGTGACACTGCTACATTGACTGACACATCCAGTTTTGTCTTACCTGCAAGTTACCTGGCATACCCTTTGTGAAGTGTCTGTGGATCTTACTAATCAGAAGACAGACTGCAAATATTTTTTTCTGATTTTTGTAGTTGTAGAATAACTAAGTAAATTCTATAAAATGGTTGCCTTAGAATAATTGAGTATCATGCTGATCAGGTAGGTACAAATGTTAATTGATTACTAACTACTTAATGTACTTTTTTTGAGATTTGTTTATTTACTTGCAGTTGAGAATCGAGTTCGTCCATTAGTACTTGTTATTAAGAAATGGGCAAGTTTCCATGACATAAATGATGCCAGCCGTGGTACTTTAAGCAGCTATAGTCTTGTATTGATGGTTTTGCACTATTTACAGAGTAAGTATTTTTTTACCTGTTGATACTGTAAATATCTGTAAGTAACTGATACTGTCCTTTTGAGTTTATATTTGTGTCGTTTTCCTCTTTAATAAAATTAAACACCAGCAGAAGTCATCTTCCACGCAGAAGAATCTGAAGATTAAGTAGGTTTACTGCACTTCCTTAGTGCTGCATTTTTCTTTAATGAGTGGACCTCTTCTCTGGAGACAGTTATCAGCTTTAAAACTATTAAAAAAAAAATAAAAATCAGTGCACCTGCAGGATGCTGTGTAACTATAGAATAAACTCAAGCACTAGTTAACAAAAACCTGCCTTTTAACAAAGGGAAGACATACTTAAGCTCTAGTTACCAGAAAACTGCATTTTAACAAAGAGAAAAACCTAAACATAACAATTTAAGTGGTTTTTTGTTTGGGTTTTTATTTTTGTTTTTTATTTGGGAACTTCCACAGAAATTCAAAAGGACAACACATGCTGTGGGGTCATTCTTCTGTCCTGTGGTGAGTGAAGGACTGAACATGGGGGACATGTATATGCAAGAATGCACTACCATGTGGTTAGATTTTTCCACTGATTACTGTCTTCCGTAAGGTGACATGTTGGAGACTGTTAGAAGTTGGGATATTTGCCTATCAGCAGCAGTATCTTTTCTTCTAACTTCAATATATTGAAACACTGAATATCTGTAAGGAGCTGGAGAGCTTTACCTGAAAAACTAAGGAATCCTGTTGAATAATTCAAGAAACCCATGCAGTCCAGAAATGTTTTTGAGGAATAGTTTGAAATGAATTTATCCTCATATTTCTTTCTTTTATTAGAGGAAGTTCATGTTTGTGATTTTTGTAGTTTGCAATTCTTGCTTAAGATTAAGGATTGTCATTTAGAATCATAGAATGGTCTGTGTTGGAAGGGACTTTAAAAAATCTAGTTCCAACTCCCCTGCCATCAGCAGGGACACCTTCCACTAGACCAGGTTGCTCAAAGCCTCATCCAACCTGGCTGCGAACACTTCCAGGGAGGGGGCATCCACAGTTTCCTTGGGCAACCTGTGCCAGTGTCTCACCACCCTCACAGGAAAAATTTCTTCCTAATTTAAGAAATCATCCTAATTTAAGAAATTATTTAAGATATCATTTAGCTCAGTATGAGTTTCTTGGTTCTTTATTGGGAGATAAGTGGCTTCAGAAAGGAAGGCAAGAACCCCTGAAGTGTACATCTTCTGGAGTAACCTGCTTGTAGAAGTATTTTCTTAATTCAAGTCAGCTCATGTATAGACTGTGTATTTTGCTGCTTGTACTCATTCCATGCCTTTGTTTTATTTTTTGTTCTTGTTCATGTTATTTTAATTACAACTGGTTCTTAACATTTTATGGTCATATCTGTGGTCAAATTGCATAGGTTCTCATTTTACACTTTTCCCTTTTGTCAGTTTGTGTAGGCTTTTGGTTTTGGTTGGGTTTTTAAATTGGGTAGAAAAAATTTTTAGCTCCTCTGATGGTTTGTTTGGCCTGGAATGTAGGTACTTGCTGTGCAGTGGTTACCCAACTGTTTATTAGTTTCAAGATCACACTACACCCACTCTGTTCTGGGGTGGAAAGCTTTTTATGGTAGTCGACTCAAGCTGGTGGCTGTCTTTCAGCTGATCTGTATATGTAGTAGGTGACCTAGGAGGGCATTGTGTGTATTTGGGATCCAGTTGACTGGGTTTCTTCCAAATTATTTGATGCCCATACTGTGTGCCTGCTGTTAATGTACTAATCATGAGGACAGTAGGACACTGTATCCAGTGACTGTGGTTTTTTTTCTCTGCTTCTACTATGATAGAATTCCATAGATTTCTTTGTTTCTGTGGAAATAAAAGAAAATGTGGCCGAGTATGTTGTCTCAGCTCTGAAACCATACTGTAGGTGACTGTGCACTTCAGCATAGGTCCTTATCACAAACCAGGAAAAAAAAATATCAATCAAACAAAAAATGTTGTTTTGGAGGAGATGAAATCACAATGAACTTAAAAATGCCAAAGTGATACTTAGATACAAGATAGAAAATGTTGGGAACTACTGGATATGAAGATTGCTATGCAAAGGTGAAGCACAAGCAGGAGAGGAGAAAAAGCACCTTTACGTGGTCTAGCAATTAGTGGCCATCTTAATAGTGACTTGATAAGCATTTGATAATTAGTGTTAAACTTTTAAGGGAAACAGGCCTTTTCACTTGGAAATTTATTCTCTTAAATCTCTTTTCATTGTATTGCAGTTACTCTAGAGAGACTTGTACTGGGTGCTGTGTACAGTCATAGATAGCCAGTTACTGAGCTATGCGTAAAAGTAACACAAAAGGGAAGAGAGTGGGAGGAGGTATAAATGTGTAGGCTTGCCAGAATGTTCACAGCCCTGCAAGTATGAGGGCATTTGCTGTAGGCATCTATGACAGCTGCCACAGCTGTCTAGGGAAGGTAAAAAAAAGTTCAAATCATCCTTTTTGTGCAAAACCCATCAGTCAGCTGCCTGGGAAGGATCAGCCATCTGCAGATCAAAAAGGAGCCTTTTACCTGTGCTTCATCAACCTTTTCAGCTAAAAAAGAATGAAGTGTGGTTCTGGATGTCTACTAGTACCAGCTGTTTACATTCTCATGTTTTATTCATGCAGATTTTAATCTTTTTTCCTGCTACATGCCTATGATGCCACTGAAAGTAGCTTGTGTCCTAGTCATATACTTTCTAATAAAGCTTTTGTTGGTGTTACTAGGGAGGGAAAAAATAAAAGCTTTCTTGTGCAGCGAATACTGTCCCTGTCTTTACTAGGCAAACTTCTTTCCTTTACTAGTTAATACATTTCCTTATACTTATACTCGTGTGGATGTTTTTGGACCTGGGGTTAGTGTGGCTTGAGTTTATTTTGTAGACACATCAGTGTCTTGTACATGAACATTCCTCCAGGTAATAGATCCAACTGTCTTGTGCAGTAACAAAAGGAAAATTCATATGGCAAATGCTAGTAGTAAGTGGTAAATTTTCACCTTAACTCCATCCTCTTATTAGAGCATACAGACCCAGATAAAATATCTTGATTGCTTTTGTTGCTCAGATTTTGTTGCCTTTTATTTTTGTGCGGCAGAGAACTGGAAATTATCCAAGAAATTGCAGAAATATGATGTTCTTACATCTTGTATTTCTAAACACCCACAAACAAAATAAAAATATTATTAAAGCAGCTGTGATCATATTTTTGGCAGTCCTGCTAGTTAATAGAGTATACTCTTTGAAGGTATCCCAAGCATGTTCTGAGAATTCTGCTGTTCTGATTCTTAGTCCTTGTGGCAAAAGGATTCTGTTACATCTCATTCCCTGTGAGACTTTGTCTGAAGGGTGAATTAAGTCCTAAGTCAAATTCCTGTGTGATGAACTTAATTATTTGTGATTCTCCCTAGTTAATTATGTAGACCAGTTTAAAAAAAAAAAAACCCAACATGTTGAAGACATGATGTTAAAGCTTTAGTATGAGGAGTACTCTAACAGTCCTGCAGCTGGTCTAAGGCTTGAGTAGGATGTGAATAGGATGTTTTGTGTGTCTATCAGTAGGACCACCTAACCTGGAAGATAAGTTTGGTTTTTTTCCCTGTTGTTTGTTCTGTATGATAGATGCTCTCCCCATCCATGACTTTCATAAAAGTTACGATTGTTTATTTCATTTTGTGTTTGTTAGTTTTGTTAATGTCAACATATTTTTTGTAAGCTGTTTACCATGTAGTAAACCAGCTAACAGCATTAGACTGTATTTATGTGTCTTATGGGGATTTTTCTAGCAGTGCCTGCTAATGTGTTGGATACTCTATCTTTAGGTTACTTCTTAAGACTCAGTATGTAATACTTTGCTAAAGAATGTGTACTTTTGCAGTATCTGGAGACTTCTTATGTTGTGATAGAATCATACTGTATTAGAGGCAGGAAAAAAAAATGAGTGAAGCTCTTGATTTTTTCTTTAGAGAATCTAGATGAGTTTCCTATAGCCGTGTATTAATATTATTTTAAAAGTGAAGTTACACCCAGCTGCTGTAGAATTTTTCATGTCTTCTGCAAATAGTAGTATCTTAGTAACAGCTTCCCATAGCTGAACTAACTCCTTAGGCTACTATATACAAAATACAGTAATAGAAAGATTTGCTGAATAAATTTTATTTTACTAAATGCATGAAAGTGAAGTTCTTGATAAATCTTTTTAAAGAGGAATTTCAGTCCAACCTTTGTAATCAGTATGATATTGTTCCTGTGAATTACATGAATTACAGCAACTTTGAACTTTTTTTTTTGTAGCCCTACCTGAACCCATCCTTCCATCCCTCCAAAAAAATTACCCAGTAAGTGTTTCTTATGAATTTATTATATCATATATGTGTATGAAGCTGCTTATCTAAAATATCTGAACTCTTAAATATCTCTAATGGATTAAGTTAAACACAGTCTGTAAGCCTGGTCATTAATATGCTAAAAGTAAGTGAGAAAAAGGTTATTTGCTGCTTTTGATCACTTCTTTAGTGAAAGCAGTCTGTTATATATGAGAAGATTTTACACACAGTTGGAAATGAGTGCTAATGAGAGCTGCTGACTTAATTCTCTTTATGTTGGCCTGAAAACATTCATGTGTCATCTGTAACTTTCTGACTCGTATTTCTTAGTAATGTTATGTAGTGTTTTTTGCATCCCACTGTGATGTTTCAGAATTCTGTGCCTTCCCACAGCTTTTGAGTTGCCTGATATTTCTGGGTGCAGAGAGTGAATGATATATATTTACTAAGGAGACTTTTGAAACCTCATGAAATTAGGCTTCAGACTGTCAAGAAAATGCTTTCTTGGGACTTTGCTGTAATGTGCAGATCATGCTCTGCTGACTTCCAGAGATCTCTGAATTGGCATGCTTTGATCCTGTGCAGAATTAGTACTGTAGTTAGTGAGACTTAATCTAAGTAAGATTACCTAGAAATAAGAGCTAGCCTCCTAAATATTTGTCTGGGGACAAAAAAGCTATGGATGAATAGTTCTATAATGTAACTTTTTTACATAAATTCCTCAGTTCCTTCCTCCTTATCTTTCCTCTCACTTGTCACTTTTTAAGTTTTTCTTTATTCATAGTTGCCATTATGCAGTGTCCCTGTCTATGTATGGGGTTTTTTACTGTTGCTGATAATTGTGCTGAGATTGTATCAGAAAGCCATTCTTTCTTTTGCATATGTTTCCTACAATGCTGAAATGGGAATATTGACACTGTACATCAGGGAGAAAATACTGCTGTGTCAACCATTTTGGGTAATTAGGTTAATTGAGATACAGAAGAAAGCTTAGTACACTGCTTTGTAAACCTGCTTAGGAATACTTGTGCTAAATTTTTATGGTCTTTATTTTTTCCTGTTTTTGTTTTTACTGTACTTTACTGTACATTGTAAATTCTTCATTGTTAGTGCTCAAAAGCATTTAAAGCTGTTTCTCATTTCTTGCACACTTTATCTGATGGGTTTTTTGAATTTTTGCTAACTTTGTTAATTATGTTTGCTTAAAGCTCATACGCTGTAGTATTTTAAGTTTTGTGTCACATGTAATTTAAAGAAAACAACTGAAAGAACTGGTAGCTTTTGACTCATTGATAATAATAATGCAAGCATTTATATTTGTAGTGTTTGAACTGTGTAAAAGCCTTCAGAGCACTATATAAATATTAATGGCTTAAATGATTAAAGCAAAAGCACACAATACCATAAGCTGAAAAATCTAACACATTTGTACTAAATGCAAGGTTTTATCTTGTATCGTGTGAAAGTGATAAATCACTTGCATGTTCTTGTGTTTCTAGAGCACTGCTGTAAGAATAACATTTTTTTTATCCTGTTTCAACATAGGTTTTTTGTTGCCTTTGGAGGATAGACTAAACATTCTAGGATTGCTAATAAAATAAAAAGAAAATTTTATGTATGCTTACTATAAAACAGAATCAAAACTATGGTTTAAGATTTTTTTAAAAATATGGTAGAAATTTGCAAATAGGTTTTTGGTCTACTCTCTCTGTTAGGAATGTAATTAAGTGTTTAAAAATTGTGAAAGTTACAATTTCTGAATACTGATATTGCAAATTAATTTTACATGAAAATGAGAAATATACCAAAACAATTCTGGTCTTGTAGCTTTCAGTAATAATTACAAAGCATGGGCAAATGTCAGTATCCAAAGAAACCATACATTTTCTTGTTTGTAGCTGGTCAAAGCTGTGTCTCCACCCTGGTACTACACATAAATACAGCTTCTCCCCTTCTGAAACAAAACAATTTTTCTTTTTTTCCCTAAATCAAATCCGCAGCTCTTTCTGCAGCCTGAAAATTCTGTGCTTTGAAGGAAACTGCTTGTTTAAAATTGTAGGTGCCATGTAAAATAGACATGCTTACTTTGAGTGAGAAACGAAAGGTGGATTCTGTGACTCAGTATACCCTTGCTGCAGAGGTGAAGGGTGAGAATTCCCAGAAAGCCACCAGAGCTGCTCACCTGTGCATTCTGTTGCCGTGGGCTAGTCTGCGTCTGGCACTGAGTTGCCATGTTTTGCAACCACTAGTTTAGAGGGAGTATTGGACTGTGTCAGGTGTCGGCCTGCATTTTGGGGCTTCCTGTCCCTCCAGACAGATGGGATAGATGAGAGTAGCCCACAAAATGTGTTGATCAGTTCTGAAGTCTATATGGAACTTGTGTCCAAGTCAGGACCTTTACAGATAAGCTCTGGAGAACCTGTGGTGGCTTAGGCTGTTATGGCTTCTGGTTGTTTTGTCTGTGTGTTTGCCAGAGGTGAACACTGTGGCAAACGAGTCAGAAGGGGATGTGTGCCTGAGTCTCCAATGTTCCAGGGCAGCCTGGCATATTAGCTTAAATCCAGATAGAGTTGGGTGTCTGCTATTGCTCTGGATTGTGAACTTCATTATTTAGCATGAGCACATTTTTATTTCTGGTGTCTCACTTTCACAAGCAGTCATATCTTGCAAAGGGTGAGGCAGAAGATGGGATGTTGCGTACTATATTTCCTTCATGCATGAAAGTCAGTCCTTGAACAGACACAATTTACTTCAATCTTCAAGTTGCACTTTTTAAAAGTATAAACGTGAGTTAAATCTTCATTTTTAAGACTGGGGAAGGCTATTTTATGTGTGTGAATACCTATCAAAAATGGGAAGATACTATTCTGATGTTACTACTGTAAACTTTTTTGAAGGAAAAATCATGGACAGTCAAACTCATTATACATCAAGATATTGAAATGTAAAGATTTTATGTACACTTGTGTTCCTTTCCAGTGTATAAAGTGGGATGAGAATATGTGTAAGCATTATGTAGCTTGAACATGAAGCATGTTGCTGAATGTTTGTGCTTCCTTGAGAAATCAACAACCAAGGAAAATACTAGAGATCTAGCAAAAATGGAAAAAAGACTTTGGAGTGTGGGGTATTTTGAAATAATTGCTAGCTCATTTAGATTTGTTGCTTAATCAGACCTTAGGCTAGTCTGAAGGATGCTTTGTAATTCTGTTGTATTACTAGTCTCCCTTATGTACAGAATCTATAAGCTGTACCTTGTTCTATATTTAGTTATTCTCTCTGGCTGGTAGAAACATAATTACCCCTGTTTTACAATAGGTGAATGGGGGTAGCTTGAGGCTAGGCAAGCAGGAAAATGAGCCTAGGTATCCTGTGGTTGGTCTGACCTCTTGTTCACTGGACACTTGAGCTTCATTAAGAAATTACTTTAAACAAACGACATTGGTTATTGATATATTGAATATTGGTATATCTTGACAGAAGTTTTCATTAAATCTTCCCATGCCCAATTTTAAGTAATTATTAATTTGGTTTTATATGTAAAACTTTATGATCTGGTAGTAGCAATTTCTTCCATAACAAATTTTCTGTATTTCAGAAAGATGAAACACTACTTTTTCTTCTGTGTGTGGTGATCTGCAGCTCCCAGTATTTAAAAAAATAAGTTGACTAACAATATCAAAAACATGTGATTAACAGTTTGGTTTAGTTAATGTTAAAAATTTTATAATACTTAGTTTTCTTTATTAAGAGTAATTTTTGTAGTGGCACAGAATACTTAAACAAGTAGAGATGAGAATTATTTATACATGTACCTCTTAAACTAGGTGATTGGCTTCTTAAATTATTAGCAGCTATAACCTATAACTTTCATTTTTACTAAAGCACTTGTATAGAATAATATGCATTTATTTTTTGAAGGCAAATGCCTTTCTGAGTAAGGAAAACTTTGATTTGCCTGCCCTTTGAGGCAAGCGTATTTTGTGTACATGGTAAAACTTGGAACTGCAGGTTTCATGAAACAACTTAATTTTGAAAAAAAAAAAATAAATCATAATTTTAGATTGCAGAATTCAAGGTTCTTAATCCTAATTACTAGATTATAATTTAGAAAATTGTCTTCTAATGCAGGTTAGGAATTTTAACTCTTCTGTCATGGGTGGGAATCTTTGGAATGTGGTACATCTCCTCAAATGAAGAATCTTTCAGTTTTATCACTGCTGCTTACATGACTTTTGATCAGTTGCAAACTCAGTGAAGAAACAAACTAAATATCCTGAAAAATGGCTTAATCTGGACTATGCTTCTACCATAATCACCCTCTTCAAAATACAGATTTGTAATTTTAAAATTTTGCAGTGTTTTCTAACTTCCTATTTCATTAACTGCTAACAGATCTTATTGAAAAAGTATCTTTGGATAAAGTTGCATTTGATATCCTTCTGCTCTTTCATTTTTTCTGGCTGTAAGCATACACACAGAGGCACATATGTGTTCTTCTTTTTTGCTTTAAGTTTTGTTACAACTGTATTTGCTGTATTACAACTATATTTGCTATATTGTCTCTTGCTGTTAGTATAACTTGATTTATTTTCTTCTTATTCATATGTTGTACAAACACTAATAAAAATTAATTTTGATCAGTGTATAAAATGTAAATAAAATGTACTTAAGATCAAGACTGGTAAGAAAAAGCAACATCCTCTCTAAGTTTGTAATAGTGCTAAATAAAATAGGTTATTTATTATTCTGAAAAATAATATCCCAAAGTCTAGCATTCTAACTGCTCAGTATGCCAGCTTCAATGTGATGGCAGATGTTTCTTGCAGTTGAGAAGTTCTCAGGCATTTGAATATTCAAAGCATTAAAAAAAAATATTCTTTTCAAAAATGTCGGCTGCCTCTAAACATTTACTTATTAGTCTTAGTAGACATCTGTTGTGGTAATTTCATTGTGTATTGTTTGGAGGTCAGCAGCCCTTGTTTCATTCTTTTATTTCCCTGCCTCTGTCCATTTCCTCACCAGCTGTTTTACTGCTAATACTAAATTAATTCTACAATTTTGTGGGAATGGGCAGGGAGTGACTTTCACTCTAGTACCTGTCTGATTACATTTGGGGTTAAAACTGTACATCCTGTATAACATAGGAACAACTTCCCTATTTAGGTCTTTATATGCTGCATATCTGCTTTTTATGTCTGTCTGTCTCCATGTTTTTGTATGTTCTGTTGGATTGTAAACTGTTCAATTCTGAGCTCTGCTAACTATAATATTTTCTGTGGAAAGTTGTATCATGTGAGAACAAGACTTGAAATTTTTCGTAGCTGGAGGAATGGCCTTTTTTCCCAGATGTTGTGCAAGGTTCCAGGACATTTTGCTGGAACTGGCAAAAGAGGACAGGAATCCCAAACTTTCCAGTCCTACTGGTTTGATTGCTAACCATGGTTTTCTCGGAGGAAGCACTGCCAGCTGTGAACATAAAAGCAGTATTACAGTGTATATTCTACAGTATATTCTTCTAGTGATATTCTACTGCTATAGAGATTGAGTCATGCCTGATACTACTCTTTAAAATGACAAAGGAGTTGGAGGGGAGATAGTAATGACTGAATAGGTTCCTAAATTTACATAGATGTATTTCTTTATGTGAAGATAAAGCTTGCACTTGTGTATCTTGGGTTCATGTTCCTTAAAATACACATTGCTGTAAAATGTAGTATCCTGCTATTACCAGGTTTTAAAAATTGTTTCTTTAGCAAGAGAAGTTATGTTCTCCATGTACCCCAGTCTCTCAGAAGAACCTAAAGGGTGCAATGGACACCCAAAGAGTGTAGCAGACCTAAAAACATGTTAATTTAGTCTTGTTCAGATTCCTTTTAAGTTGGCAATAGTGACTTTTGTTTATAGCAAACCTGACTTTTTTTTTTTGCCCCCCAAAGAAAAGCACACTTCAGCGTAAACGCTGCATTCTGTGTATCCAGATTTTTTGTATAACTTTTTATTCTTTCAGATAGGTTGGCTAGAGGAAGTGCGGCTGCAGTCTTTGAACTCATTATGTGGGAAGATGCAGGTTCATATTAGAGCCAGTGGGTTTCATATGCAATTTTAACTCTTTGTTGTGGGAAAAATAGGCAAGGCCTTCCTTACGGATTGTTTTGGTACCACAGTTATGGGAACACCAGCCCTGTCTTGGTTTAACTGCAGCCAACTCAGGCAGGCTATCTTACTCAGCTTCTGCTCATGTGGTTTTACTAGCATGTAAATGCAAGTCCAGTTCAGAAATTCTCCCATGTTAAAATTCTTTAGCAAACAGAAGGCAAGGAATGGTCTTGGACGCTCCTGTGCAAGGTGATTCTATCTGGGTTCAGGGGGAGTAACTAGTGTCCAACAGAGCACAAGAGAAATAGAGCTCTTTGCTTCTAAGTTGTCCTTGAACTTCTAATAAGCAAATGATAGGCAGCTTTTTTATTGTGAAAAATATATGCACCTAGATTAAGGCCATGTGTATGTGTATATACATACTCTGATTTTATTTTGACAGGAATCTTTTGATCCTACTATGCAGTTGCATCTTGTTCATCGAGCTCCATGTACCATTCCTCCTTACCTCTCAAAAAATGGATCAAGCCTTGGAGATTTGCTAATAGGCTTCTTCAAATATTATGCCACAGAATTTGAGTAAGTAATAAGCTCATCTTAGTATTTTAGAATATGTGGAACTTTGATTCCTTCTATTCAATATACCAACACTTTATAACCCTGGAAGAGAAAGAATAGCAGTAATGCAGGACTGCTAACTGACAGAGAGGAGAAGGGTGAAAAGACTAAAGGACAACAGGAATGCTGAAAAAAAGTGTCTGACATCTTTTGCTTAGCCAACCATCCTGTCCTGTAAAATAGCTGCCAGAAGTTAGAGAGCTTTGTCCTTTTAAAAAATAGTTGGTTTTTGTTCAATTACACTATTATTAAACTGTCTATCCATGTGTGAGAAAAATTTGTTTTCCTTAGTTGTAGTTTAAGGTATTGATTGTGATATGAATTATTTGGACCTTAATAGCTGTGCTTGTCTTCTGTTTCCCCAAGTCAATGGAGTTAACTGACAAGGTGGCTCCTTACTTTGACTGTAATACAGTCATTAATATAGGCCACACCTACTGAAAAATTCTCACATGTATAGTTAGCTCACTAACCTTGTTGGTTTGCTAGAATCTGAGTTTAATTTTGGCATGTGGACTTTCTTGTGGAAGAGAAGGAGATGCTAAAGTTGTGAGGGCATCTGGGAAAGCTATAGTTATGAACACTTAGCCAGATTTTCACTCTAGAGTTTCTTAAAAAGTGCTTGTCCATACAAAATATCAAATGGTTGTATTTTAATAAGCTTAAAGATCTTCTAAAGAATTTCTGAGGCAATTGGCTCATACATGTTGCTGTCCTGTGTCTGTGTGTCATAGCCATTTCCTGGAAGGACAACAAAATGTATAGCTGCTGGATACTCATTATAATTTTTGAAGTGTTCATATCTTATTTCAATGTAAGAAGTGAACAATCATTAAATCCTTGTAAGAAGACATGTTGGGGTGTGTACCACATTTCAAATATATAAGCTAAATCCATATGGCCTGTGGCAATTAATTGTACTTTGGGCATGCTTCAGCCTGATTCTGAGAGATTTTCACATAAAGAGCTTTCCTTCAATGATCCCTTCAGATAAGGGAATTGTCTATTATCCTAAGTTTTTCCTGTGTACTTGTCTTTTCAGCTGGCAAGGTGCTGCTATGCTTAGACAACACTTCTGGAGGATATCCCCAAGTTCCTTATTTGTATGGGATGCTAGATACATCCTTTACTACTTGTCTGTATATCGCGCTGCTAATCTTCTCATAGATGAAAGTGAATATGTTTTCCACTAAGGAAAACTAAGGAAGAAGTTACTGGTTTGCCTGTGCAAACTAGCAGAGAAAATGTTGTCCTAATGCAGGAAAAATACCTAATTTGACTTTTCTAGTTTGGGTGCTTGTTAACATAGTCAGGAGCAGATTTCTGTGTAAGTCAGTAGCTGGTCCAGTGAGACTTTTTGTTTTGCCTGCTGTTAGACAGGCAGGGTATACTAAGAAGTATGAAACTACTAATGCTGCAGTGTCAGTGCAGCATGATGGTATTCCCCCAATATTATTTTTTGTGATAATCACAAATGAGGGAAAAAATTACCTAAATTTAATCACAGAGGCACAGGGGAGCTTCTGGTTAAAACAAAGCTTGAAAAAGTGGACAGTGAAGAAAAGATAGCTGCTGATGTGAAGAGAAGTAGAGATGTTCAAAAAACAACCATATAAACAAAAAAGAATATCTGGTTTGTTTTTCCAGTATTAAGTACCTGTTAAGTATTCAAACACTTGACTGATAGATACTAAAATTCCGTATAGTTTCGTAAAAACTGGTAATTGGCTGGAGAAGAGAAACCCAAATTAAGGCCCATGCTGGGGAAGAGGTGGGCAGAACATAGTGTGATAGCCAGCTGATGAGAACAAGTACAGTGTCGTGCTATCCACAGTATCTGTTATCTTTGCTTTGAAGCTGCTGATGGAAACAGCATTGTAGGTGGGAATGAGGATAAAAGTTAAGTACACACAACATGGGGCTCTGTTAGTTTTGCCTTTCATGGAAGAACTAGTATTTTGCTCCTGAATGTGTTGAATATTTTCATTGCTGTAGTCACTTTTTCCAGTCTTTGCTTTCCCTGTAAAACATTTGCTAGTGTTTTTATACACAGAAATTTTGAGATTATATTTCAGATACTGTGACTATTAAGTTAGGTCACATTTAAATGACCTGTACTGTGCTAGTGAGCTTTCACTATTGAACTATAATGAGTTTGATGAAAAGATTACTGAAGAGAATACTACTTCAGTTTTCATAAAAGTGACTTTTGTAGATTCCTGTCTGTGGAATAGGCCACAACACTAGCAGGTTTGGTACACAGGATCTCTTTTGCTGAGAGAACAGTGTATAGTCAAGAATGATCAGATCATGTGTGAAGATCATAATTTTGGATAGCATGAGTCGTTGATGCCACCTGCCTGGATTGCTTAACTGATCAACTATTTTACATGTATTGGTCAGGAAAATAGAGAAACATTTGTTTTAAACTTCCCCCTCAGTCTAGCAAAGGCCAGTATGTATTTCAGTTAAAATCAATGTTTTATTTTACTTGATGTAGTAAATAATGTTTAAGGGCAGGATGGGCACAAAGGAAGAAACAGGAACCTTGCATGCTGTGCAGCCGTGAATAAGTTTATCTTCCTGTGCTGTGTTCTTTCCCCTTATGCTTTTAATTTGCTTTGTTTATTTAGAATATAAGCTCTTTCAGAAAATTGCTGATTACCATGTATTTATACAGTGCATATTCCACAGTCCTGCTCTGGGATTTTCAGTGTGTCTGAAAGAAGTACTTTTTATCCCCCTTCATAAGTTACCAGAAATGTGATTTGGAAATTGCTGCATATATTGGATCTACACACTACGTACGGCAAAGCTTGATTTGCTGTATACATGGTTGTATAATTAGCTTGCCATAGGAATTCAAGTCTGCATAATACTTTGCATGATACAGCTGGATAGAAGTATGCTTATAACTCCCATTTTAACTTTAAGTATTTCAAACTATCAAAGATTCGCTGATTCGGCAGTGAACGTGACCAAGTAAAAAAAAAAAATATATGGAGGTGTTCTCAAAAGAAAGTATTTGGAAATTGGTCCATGTTTACCAGGCTGTCTGTAGAGAGTGTCTGATTTCATTGCTGCAGCTGTGAGTGAAGGCAGCAGGTTTTCACTTGGCTGTCTCTCTACAAAGCAAGACCTTGAAGCAAGGCCTTGCTCCCCAGAAGTTACAGCTAGGGAGCCTAGAGATTGTCCTTTGGGACTGTACTTCTCTTAAATTTATTGTTTCAAGCTGTGTAGCAGTTGTTTAAGATCATTCACTGATTAAGTTTTATTTGGTGGACACAATAAAAGATTGGTTACATTGTTGTGACAAAGTATAAATATAAAATACAGTCGCTCTCGGATCTCTTCAGGGTAGAATTGGTCAGGTAATAAAGGGTCATTTTTTTAGTAGTCTGATTTAAATGTGCTTGCAATTTGTACCTATCAGTGTGTTTATGCAAGTAGCTTTCACTTACAGAGTGCTCTGGAAAAGATAAGCTTTTTAATCTGTTTGTCATGTATTCATATACTCTTACACCTGGAAATGCATGATTTTCAAATTCTCACCTTCTCCACGAGGAGCAGATACCTTATGTGGGCAGTAATACCAGAAGTAACTGATAATTGAAATAGCTGTTTAAATAATTATTGTTAACTTATGGATTGAAAGTGTGTACGCAGAAAATATTTGCTTTGTGTTGGCAATAATGAAGTTTCTGTGTGCAAGCCAAAATGGCTAAAATTAATTAAAAAATTATTTGTGATTAGCAATTAATTCAGGCTGATTTTGGTACCAAGGCAGAGTTAGTGAAGGTTTGAGGCTACTAGATAAAGCAGTTTTAGAGTTTAAATGGAAAGCTGTTTAAGTAGCTAGAAATGTTACCTTTTTTGTTGCTTTTGGTAAACCAGTGTATTATAAATGCATTTATTTTTTGATGAGGAATCAAGCCAAGTAACCTAGAGAAAAAGAAGTAATAAGAATTACATGTTTGAAGTGAAACAATACTGCCTGGTTTAACCAAACACAGATCAAATACTTTGTTGCTTGACTGTGACTTTCCATGACCCACCCTACCCCCCCACCCCACCCCACCCACTGGCTTGGATCTCTCTTATTTTTAAATAAGCTTTTAGAAAAAGCAGAGGAGTTGCACTATGAGGTGCTTCTGCTCATGACCAGTGTTCTGGAGCTCTGGTGTTAGCTTCTTTGATCTGGTCTGGTCTCATGCTTTCTTCCAATTTTTTGTTTGTTTGTTTTTGGTTTGTTTTTTTTTTTTGAGCAATTCATCTGAACTTCTTAAGCTTGTGTTGGTGGTCATTTATTAAAAAGACAGAATAGGAAAGTATTTGGTGCTTCTTAATACCTGATTCTTGCAAAAGTAGCTTGCTGTGAGAATTAAGGAGACAGAGTGATGGGTTAGAATGAAAGCTTTACTTTGCATTGAAAACTAGAAATTATCATCACCTGTACTAATTTTCTAAGCATATCAAGAGAAATCTAAATATACACAGCAGTGAGTGAATAAGTAATCTGAGGTATCCTGAACTTCATACACTGTCCTGCACCTTTTTGAAATCGGTCCTATTCATATTCTTAAAGAGAAGAATAATGTACATGTTCTATGGATAATGTACATGTTCTATGGAAGTACAGTTATTCAAACCACTCATTTTCATAAGTGGTTTTAATAATGAGTTGTATCCAAGATAATTTATAGAATTACAGGCACAGATTTGAAGATGATGTAAACTGTCTTATCACCACTGACTTAATGGCGTTATGACAGCTGATCTGTGGCCTAGGGAGCACAAAGTTCTTCTAAATTTAACTAGTGAATTATAGACTGTATTTTAATATACAGTTGATATTTACACATTTACTGCAGGTGGTTGATACACCTAGCCAAGCTCCTCTCTCTTTGAATGTCAAAAGATGGATTCAGTCAGGAAATCACATCAGGTGTACAGAACACCAGTACAGCTAGCAGCGTACTACCCAAGTATTTCTAAGCCCCATTTAGTCAGGACATATGGTGATGCATTGTTGGGGATCCAGGTGATTCACTGATATGGTAGTTCCCTGGTTTAATTAAGAGCAGCTGAAAACTGGCTGGGTAAATAAGAACATAAAACCGCAAGTGGTTGCTTTGCCTTCCATTATATTTGGCATATTGTGCCAAGCTTCATAAAGACACTTGGCACATTGTAAAGATTGCTATGTAACCTGCCTGCTGTTCCTGTTTCAGTGTGATCGTTTCCTATGGTTTTGTTGTAAAATTGTGTGCAGAAAGTAGTAGAATATCTTCAAATGCGTATTTGTTACCCCGTTGTTACACTTGTAGGAGATCTAAAATGCAGCATATAAAAAGTGTTAGTGCTCTCTAATAATAGGTTCCTTGCACAAGGAATGCTGGCCTGTAAGCAAGCTATCCTTATATAACTTTATATCATTGAATTTTTTTTTAATGGAATGCAGTGTGTCACTTCATCTGCACTTAAACTCCCTACGTTCCTTTTCTCCTCACTTAAAATTCTGAAAGATACATTTGAGGCTATAATTTCTTTTGAACTCAGAAATAAATGTAGGTGTCCATATTCAAGTTCACATTGTTTTTTTGAAAATAAAAAAATAAAAAAAATAAAAATTCTGTTGTGGATATATTTTAGTCATGGGTACCTGTGATGTTCTGTTTTGCAGATGTTTTCATAAATAAACTTATTGTGGAAAACTTTTCTTGTTTCCTACCTATCATTCCTTACTCTTATATAGTGCATTATGAAGATTAGACTGTTATGCTACATTATTCATTATTACAAAGTACTGTGTTGTCCATGCTTATGACATAGCAATTTGACAGTTTTTTTAATGTAAACCGATATTACTAATTTAGAATAAAGAGTTAAAAATTCTGCAAATTGTTTTCCTTTTCCCTAGCTGGAGCCATCAAATGATTTCAGTTCGTGAGGCCAAAGCTATTCCAAGACCTGATGGTATTGAATGGAGAAACAAATTTATTTGTGTAGAAGGTAAAATGTAAAGCTGCATTATAATTTTTAACTGTTAAGACACTAAATACATAAATCTGTCAAGTAGACTTTACCTTGGTTGTGTTTTAATAATGGACGTGTGTAATGTATTTATGTAGAAAATTAAGCTTGACCATTGTAAATAGTTTTCGAAACAGTCCTGCCAAAAACATTTGAGAAGGAAGCTTTAAGTTCTGTAGTGTTTAAAAATAGTTCTCCTGACCTTTTCTTCAAGAGCACTCATTGCCCTGTTACATTTGGAACAGAGATTAGGACTGTGACAAGGAATGGCCTTTATGACAGTAGTGTGTGTTTTTGTGCTCTGCAAAAATAGTCATCAGTTTTGCGAAGATCCAGCTTCTGAAAAAACACAGTGGACACATACTCAGATTCCTCTCCAAGAGTATTTTTTGTTCTAGAAGTGCTCTGGCATCCCATCTCCTAGCAGTGACTAGATCATGTGTATCTTGATCCCCTTGTGGCTACTATTCACTGGCTTGTGAATGTACAGGTTCTGCAGAGTGTGTATGATGCCTTCCAAAACTGGAGGGTAAACCCAGGCTACCTTTGGAGTTGCAGGTCTTGGCCTCCTTAGTGCAGGCTGAACTGGGCGGTAGCCCTATACAGGGAGCCTGCTTCATGTGCTCTTAATGCCTTTCAGCTGCCATGGGGAATCTATGTGAAGAAGATGAAGCTTGGACCAGGGAGAGAGGAGATAATAGAGCAAGAGAAGGATTTGAGTTGTTAGGTGAATGAAAAGAGAAGCAGGGAATGGACTGAGGTGCTGTGTAACTGGAAACAGTTAACACAGAGATAAGAAAGGGGAGTGAGAATCGGAATGCAGCCGGTGAAGAATTGGTTGGACAAGGGACCATGGGTATAGAACCAAGATGGAATGCAAGCAGAATTAGAAGTAGGTGGTTTAGGACACAGTGGTGAAGAGGGAAGGTCTGAAATGGGAGAGGTGGCCTGGACCCTGGCTCTAAATAAATGGAGGCTATTAGGATCAGGTTATAAAGGGTTGAAGTTTTCAGATAGGAGAGGAACAGAACATTCTATGTAAAGAGTTGTTAGAAACTGGGAAAATTTTGCTGGGGAGGAGAGGGATAAGGCAGAAGTCCTGTGGCTGGACAGATGTTCCTCAAGATTACTGGGAGCAGGAGTGCACTGATGTGTGTGTGCATGTAATTTCCTGCATTTGTGCTGCTCTCTGCAGAGAATAATTGCCTACTGGTGTAGTTAGTTATTTTGTGGCCCAGAGCTCATCAACTTGGTTGTAATCATATGGATGGCAATGTGATGCCACATGATGGGATTCCTGTTCTTTATGTGACTTTTGCGGGGAAAATATCGATTACCAGTCATAGGGGAAAAAATACACTGAAAGATTACTGCATGTTTGACTCTGCAGCCTCAGAGCTGCGAAATGTGAGAATTGGAGTATCTGCACAGCCGAAACGATTTGGGATAGTGCAGTGCGGGCACTGCATGGCTCTGGCCCAAATGTGGGAGGTGGGAATGCTGGGCAGCTGTGTCTGCTGCTGTCACATGATGCTGTGTTGCCAAGGCGTTGTGTGTTTCACGCTCTGGATTGTTTTATGATATTACAAAGTGGCCAAATAGGTTTTTTTTTCTGTCAGGTTGGAAAATAAATATCAGCATACAAAACAGGCATTTAAAAATTTGTATTAAATAGGCTTGATTACATACAAATTTTTCCTTAAGAGTGCATCTTGCATTTGCACTATTAAAAAAGCAAAATTGTAGGTGACACACCTGATTTCTTCCTGTTAGTGTAGTTCAAGACTTTATTAAGATTAAGTTTTAGCCTCACATACCAAGTTTTTACTGCCAAATTGGAAGGGAAAAATTACACTTCCTATTTCAACTCAAAGTTGGCTTCATGTTCATAACAGCTGTTAAGCTGAACTATTTAACAGAGTTGTAGATAAACTTCTGTGTACTTTGAGAAGAAGCTTTTAAAAACCATTTTCTGGTTTCCAAGGCTTTGTCAGATTTTTCCAGTTAGTGGACTAAAATTTCAGTAATTGGTATTACTGCATATATTTGTTGATAGATTACACAAGTCTGTGCATGCAAGTTGCTGTAATTCTGCATGCAGCATTGTATTTATGCTCGCTCACAGAAAAAATTGTGTTCTGCTGTAGTTTTTATTGGCTTTAAGACCAATTCTCACTTGTATTTCTGCTGTTAGAGAAATAAATATAGCAGAGATGCTCTTTTTGGACAGTTTAAAATCTATTATGGAGATACAGAGAACAGTTCTTTTAGCTAATGTTTGTGAACATTCCTTATCAGAAGCTCTAAATTGCTATTGACTATTCTGGTTTCAGTTTAAATCTTGTCCATGTCAAATAATATTGATCATACAGTCTCCTGTTGAAAAAGACATAGTTTGGAAAAACTAGAAACACAGCGATTTTGTGAGACAGTTAAATTGATAGTCATTTAGGAAAACTGGATCAGAAGCCATCTAATCTGCACCTGATTCATGCTTGTACTTTTAAATCTTTCAGATCCACATGTTAAAAATAATTCTAAAAATAATTCCTCAGGGCTTGGTTTGCAGCAGTTGTGAAGTTTTATGATTTTTTGTATTTTCATTTGGAAAGATGATCTCCTTTAGCCTTTCCCTCAAACATCAGTGTAGAAGTTGTATTACTTTTTCCTTTTAATATTCTCATCTCTGTGTGTGAACAAAATAACTTATGATGGACTTTCACTGTCTTGATAGCTAGAAAATGTAGTGGTATAAATAGTAGCTGATTGCAAAATGATTCTTGCTGTGCTCCAGGGAATGAGTTTGTCTTTTGACAGTCAGTAAATATGCAGGAAGAATAAAGGAAAGCTGTGAGTCAGCTTTTGTGACTAGAGTACCTTTTTTCCCCACTGACGGTTTTAGAAGATTGTACAGCTTTGCTCTTGTTAATTTAAAAAAAATGTATCTCTTGATTCAACAAAAAGTTCATAAAGGTCCTAGCATTAAAGAAACAGTTAACATCACATTTAAGACACACAGTTTAAGCTGTACTGCTTCTACTTGGTAAGGGAAATAATTTCTTAGTAGCAGTAGATCACAGTGTCAAGTTATGTGACTGACTTTAGAGGACTACTTACCTTTTTTTATTTGTTAGCCAGTTTTTTGTTCCAATCAAAATGTATGATGCCTTCTAAAGTGAAATAAATCTGCCTGTAAACATCCACTGAAAATTTTATAGGTGGTTTGGAGATAAACCTTTTAGAAACCTGCCAAGTGCAACATTTAATGCATGAAACACTTTTTTTTTTGTGAATTTAAGTAGCTTGCAGAAATAAAAACCCAATGCCATGGAACATGTTCCAAATTTGAAGTCCCAGTCTTCATATTGGCATAAACCATTCTGATGTCTGTTTGATGCTTTATTTTACTTTATGTCCCTATCTGAATAAAAGCAATTAATAACCAATTAAACAAAAAAGATACCTGATCTAGCAAATACTTCTGTGTTTCTGTGGTCCTTAAGGACTTCCATACATTCTGCCAGTGTAAAATATACCATGCTACTTAAGCAATTCTCTAGTAAGACAAGAAGTACTTTAAAATGTATTTTGTAACACATTGTAATGCATAGTCTCAGCATCATAATTTTTTAGTATCTATTTTTTAATGTTGGCAACCCCATCAGTAGCAAGGAGTACTTTTTTAATCCTTCAATTAAAAAAAAATATTCAAAAGTATTAATTATGTTAGCATAAAAAAAGGGAAAACATCATATAAATTTGTAGTCTGCTAGAAGTTGGAAGCCACAAATTGTTAACTTATGAATGGATACTGTAGAATAGGTATGAACTGATAAAATATATTTTTACAGTAGTTGATACATCTTATATAAAAAATTATAGTAAATATTTTACTCTACTCCTTGTATATCACTGATAAGCTGTTGAATTAGATGAATCTAAAGTGAACATTTCCAAGAGGCACATGTGTAAAGTTTCAAAACTTTTTAATATGCAAAATCATATTCTGGTATGTCATCACAGACTAAGCAGTAACAAATAATGGAAAAGTAACAAATATTATGCAATACTGGTGTGTAAATTCAGCACAGTCATAGTGAGCTTCAGTAGGTATAGTAACCTGACTTTATTATGGATTACATACCATTAGACCATTCAGAGCTTGGGGCTTTTTTTGGATGAAAGTTATGTAGAAATAAAGATTGAGAAGCAAAGTATAAAACAGTCACTCAAAGCAATCTTGGGGAGCAATGATAAGTTGACTCTTCAGGGTTTTGTCTGATTACTTGCTCAATGAAGTCTGAGTGGCTCTAGGTTTTTTAACACTTTTAATGTTTTTGTTTGATCTTGCAGAGCCCTTTGATGGGACAAACACTGCTAGAGCTGTACATGAAAAACAAAAGTTTGATATCATCAAAGGTGAATTTCTGAAGGTAAAAATTACATCTCATTTAATTTTTCTGGTAATTTTGGTTTTCAAGATAGTTACACAAATGCTAGTCATTGAACCTGCCTATTTTTTAATGTTTGTGTTACAAATATTTTTATGCTTTGTACTATGAAAATGTACTTTTAAATGTTTTTGTGGAAAATTCTTTAGTAAGAACACTTACTAATGTCTACCATTAAGCATCAGGCTTGAAATAGTAAACCTTCTGTCTTAGATTTTCTTGTATGTGTAAAATTCTAATCATAGTTAATAGCTTTAGAATTACAACTTTTTCTTCATTATTGCTTCCTACATGAATTTGACTGGTAATAAACAATGTTTTATACTTCTTACTATCCTTTTTTTAATAAATATCTCCATCAGTGGTTTTCTGCTGGATTTTGACAGTTTAATTAAATTGGTACTTTTCTTGAGGGAGACCACACTCATAATTTCAGAACATGTGTAGTTCAAACTGGAGCTTTCACTCTTCCAGTCAGTGGAGGAGGCAAGGACACCTTGAAGGAAGCAAAGATTTACGCCTTGGTTAAACATCCTTTTTCTAAAAATCCTTGCTACCAGCTCTTCTTTATGCTTGTCTTCTATCATTGGTATTGCATTTGGAATTGCAGCTCAAACTCTAGTTTTCAGACATCTGTGAGTATTCATAGTGTAGTTACAACTAGGGATTAGTGCACAGAACTGGCTTCCAGCTCTACCAGTTAGACTCCCCTGTTGTGCTGTCATTGGAGCCTCCTGTTTACTCCAGTTAATGAAGTCCTTAAACATCTTTGCTTCTCCAGCAAAAAGGAAATCAATGCCAGATACTTGTAATAAAATAATAAAACAAGTGCTATAAGGTGTTGCCTTAGACAGAAAAGGATAACTTTTTTGTTTTATAATTTTGTTCGGAAACTTCAGTTTCCTTCTATTTAACCATGTTAGCATACCAAATACTGAACTGTTCACATACTTTTACATAAAATGTTTGATTTTGTGAGTCTGCTAAATCAGTGTTTTACAAAGTAGTTTGGGCTTTCTCTCTCTTCTGTGAGATCAGAGTGAACTTCTATTTTCAGAGTTTTCAGTTAAAAAAATTGGTTTCAAACCTGTGTTGTTTTCTGCAAAATGTAAAAGCCATTGTTTGATCCTAGCTGTCTGGAAGCTAAAGTGTTACAGCCCTGAAAAAATTCCTCTTTACTAGGAACCATAAGGAATGACAGTTGATGAAAACTGCAAGTACTTATTGATATCTTGCACTTTTTTTTTTAAGAAGTCTAAGGAATCTGTTTGTCTCATAGCCCTCGAGAGTTTATTCTTCCTGTGGTTTTCATTAGACACTGTGGTTTAAATGAATTCTGTGTTAAGACAGGAGGGTCACTCCAGTTATTTGCAGGTTCATGGCCTAACAGATGTGACAGATGTCCTGGAATTCACTGTAGAATACAGAAGAAAATTGGAATAACCTGTTTTAAAGACACAATTAAGTTCTGGAAATGTCAGAGTATAACATTTTGTATCATGAACTTTGGCATGAATTTGATACAATTATTTTGCAGTCAGAATATCAACGTAACGTTTAAATAATGTTAACCTCTTATTCTTCACAAATCCACTCTGTTCTTGAAATGCTGTACCTTCCTCAATAGTGCATTGCATTTTGTGTACCTTTTGGATTTTTTTCTTCCCTTAAAACAAACAAACAAAAAACCTAAACAAACTCTCTTTTCAAGAAGGGCAAAAAGATCAAACTTATTTGTGTGGATCTGTGAGGCTTACTGCTTACAATGATATTTAAGTATGAATGACAAAGATGTTTAGCCTTTTAAAACCTTATACTTTTTTTTCCCCAGTCTTGGCAGGTATTACGAGACAAGAAAGACCTGAACCGTATATTACCTTTAAGATCAACCATACTGAAAAGATAACCAGCTTCTTTTACTTTCTTCTTATTGGATCCTGCCGAAATAAAGAACAGTATCAAAACAAGAACAATAAAGAACAGTATAAAAATCAAGAGACAATTACTCTGTGGTTTTTTATGACATGTTTTTCTCTGTAAACTTTTGTTAAAGAAATGTTTATAAGAAAGATTGCATATTTTATTATCAACATTTGTTGATATACAGATGTTTGTGTTGTTGACTTCTAGAAGAAACTCAAACAAACCACAAGAATAAATCTGGTTTAAGGAAAGGAATATACTGATTTGTGGTTTCCATAATCTGTGTAATCAGTAATTCAGACACATTTAACCATTAAATAAAGACATTCACAGGTAAACAAGGTGCATGTCTGACTATATCCTTAAGGCATTGTTCAGAGTACCCATGAAAAGGCAGCCTGTGCTTTGTACCTGCTTAAATGCAGTAAGCACTTTTGCTCAACTTGGCACTTTCTAGTTTTATTTCCCTTTTACTTGAAATGACAAGCAACAATTTATGAAAATTAAGCTCGATTATGGAGTTGGTAGTGTTCTGGATATCAAGAACTGTAAACTGGAATTTCAAGCAACAGTTCTACTACAAAGAATTGAAATAAAGACAAACAAATCAATATATATAAATACTTGATATTGATGCAGAGTAGGCAAGGTACTTCTTCGTGCTTCCTTCTACATGTTTGAAGTAGTAGTGATATCTGCTTTGACAACAAACAAACAAAAAAATCAAACAAAAAAAACCCTAAGCACCCCACAACCCTACCACTGCTACAATAAGCTGGGCTTCTGGTTTTATTTTGTGTAAATATTTGTAAATTGGTTAGCTATGGGAAATAGAATTTAAATAAGTAATTTTGAAAATTTTAGCTTTTCCAAAATGAAGTTGTGAACTCTTTTAGACCTGCTGTAGCACAGTTTGTGCCTCATATATTTGTTATTGAAGACCAATTAATTGTTAAAACTGTACTTACCATTGATTTCAGATTCATATTATAATTTTTTTAAGTTTAATATTTTGTATGGAGTCCAGTGAAATAAAGATTATATATGGAAGGTGCATCTTAGTTTTCCAGTTTATTTTGTACAGCATATTTAAAATCTTTCCTATAATTAAGTAGATGAGGAAATGCCCTGTAAACGTGAGGCCCTTGTTGCAAGTTTTGAACTTCTATAAGGTTGTTCTGCACTGTGACTGTGTGCAGGTAAAAGTTTCATCTGTTGCAGTCTCTATAACAAGATTTTGAAACCCCCTATAACTGTAAAATAACAAGGATTACCTCTTCTTGTGCAAACTTTCAAGTTCTAATTTATTTAAAGTTTCACAGTTCAGAAATTCTAGAAACTGTAAACTAATTGCTTACTGTGAAATTACTTATTGCACACTTTACCATACTCTAGTCTATGTAAGATTTTGGCTTGCTTCTTAAAACAGCTTCCTTCTGCAGTTTTAAGTCTTTCAGTTTTAACCTGACTCCAGCAATCCACTGAAACTTTGTTCTCCCTCCATGCATATGTTCTCCCTCAGTGCCCTTCCGCTTCATAAGATGGTAGACTTGATCTCTGTGAAACACTGACTTTGACCTCTTTTATGTAAAATTGAAGCACAAGTTTTTAGTATAGGGTAATACCTGGATTTGAAGGTGCTCTACAAGCCCTAGATAGATTTTGGGGAGAAGGGAGGGCTGCTCTGTTTTTAAAAAGGTGCTGCCTACCTCTTTGTTTAGAAAGTGTAAAACTTTCCCAACATAGGATAACTAAGAAGGGAAATACATATTCAAACTTCTCAAAAATGTATTTTGAGGGAGCTGGATGTGAGGCACAAAACTTTATGCATGTCTGTCTCATGAGTTTGCATTGCATCACCTAAGGTGTCAGTGTATCTCACACCTTTAATTACTGCTTTATGTTTGGAACCACTTCTTCCTAACTATTTTAAAATAGACAGTTGAAAAAATTGTAGTACCTCTGTGCAACTCCATAAAAATTTACACACCAACCCCAAAATTGACCCCTTGCAATCTTTAATGCAAGCCAAAATCTATAACCACAATGGTCTGTCTTTCAAAAGAATCCTTTTGCATGTTTTTTTCAAGTTTATGTACTTTGGATAAACTACATTTAGAATCAGAAATGCGAAGTCTAGATGGTACTTTTCCCCAACTGTTTGGGGACAAGCCGTTTTGTCACATCTTTTCTAACAGTGGAATGTGCCCCAGTAGTTTACTGTGCTAGCTAAGCAAGATGCAAGGTGGTGTAACTTGCTTTAGCTTATCATGAAAGAAGCTGGTGGGTAATCTGGCAAGAGCAGGGAAAGTGGCAGTGCTCTCACATATTAAAAAATAATCTAAGAGGTTTGGAAAAGACATTTCACCAGATGTCACATTGTATCATTCTCCTATCAAGGCAAAAAAGAGCAGCATCACTTTCCATGGAAGTGCCAGGCAACTGAAACAACGGTGAGTAAACGTATTGTTATTTGTTAAATGATGGGCTGCAACTTTCACCAGAAAACTCAGATAAAATACCACTAAACAAATGCTTTGGGGAGAGTGAGTAGGAGCTGAATTTCCTAACTTTGGATTCAGTTCTGCATAGTCTGAAGTTGTTCAGAGATTTAATGACCTGGGTTTTTGTCTACTCTGGGCAGGTATCCATAGTGAGAAATCTATTAGTGGCTATCGTAAATCTTACTGTTAGTGTAAAATTTTATTTTCTCCTCAACTTCAAAATAAAAACCTTCTCACACTTGGCATACTCCCTAGCAGGAAATTTTTCTGAGACACCTTTGGTAAAAGGTGTTTTTCATGGCTGACCAAGGTTTCAGCATGTGTGCAAGATGCTAGCTTCTCTGAGGCTTCTTATTGCTTTGAAATAAAAGTGCTTTAGTTCAGTTCTGTTATTTTAGGACTCATTCTGTCTACTCATTTTGGCACTGGGTTTGCCTCTCATTTCTCACCTTATATAATGTCAGAAACTACTAGTGGCTGGCCTAGGATTTTAGGAACTCTCTAGTCTCCTAGCAGTGCTTTTAACTAGTAGACTTGGAGGTGTTCAGGAGGTTCAAAGGTTGTCAGGAGCTTCCCACTCAGTAACAGTACTGCCAGAACTGGTATAGGCTGAATACTGTGAAACTTGGGAATTTCTCTTCTAGCTCTCTTGCTCTCACTTCTCCTAAAATGTGATTGGGTAAGTGAACTCCCTGTACCTTCAGGTGTTCTGACAGTATGAGAGGTTATTTTTAAGAAATCCCTTACAAAGAATTCCATATAAACCAATATTAACACTCAGATTGAATGGTGACATGGTTATTTGAGAGAAACAGGCAGCCATGATAAAGGATATAAGGTGATTTTTGGATAACCTGAAGTTAGTGTTTGTAAATACCACCCCAAATGCTTATTTGAAACCAGTGCTTTACTGAACTTGGGTCATTGAACTCAATTCGTAGTATATTTTATGTTAAATTTAAGTCCATCAGAGAACATCACTCTTGATTTAACGGTCTCTACTTGCTCTGGGTTATCTCACATGTATTTTGTAGTGTTTGTTATGTTTGTCTTATTTTCCCTAATCCTTGTGTGTTTTGATACAAATCTTTTCCTCATTGATTTTACAGAGTATGATGCTTGTGGGAAGAGCATGAAAGAATACACTATTTTGGTCAATTTACAGGTCAAATTAAGTTGTGAGAAGTACAGAAGGGAGAGCACTAGGTCTGGAAATAATTTGAAGGGGTTCTGGTAAAAGGTTACTCACCTTCCTCTTGCCATGCTGAAGACTGAATTAGAACTTGTGCAATATAGATATGCTTCATGTATAAGCATTTCTTGAAGATTGTAATGCTCTTGTCTTCCATGTGTAAAGAATGTGAAGTCCTCTACCTTAAATTTCATTGTGCTGTGTGCACTCAAGATAAAATCATCTGCTTCCAGTATGCTTCTTTGAGAAATTATGTTTTGGCCTTGTAAATTGTGTACCTCAGTGGGCAGGTCAAGAAAGCAGACAGCTTTTATATGTATGTACTGTTTAGGAAAGATTTTAATTCCAAGTGAATGTGTCAGTAAAATTTAAATTTAGCACTGTAGAGAGAGCTTGTACACAGAAGTACCTGCTTGGGTGTTTCTGTACTTAGACCACAAGGAAGTGTTCACTGATTGATTTATAACCAGCTATTTATTTGAAAAACAAAAAAACCCCAAACAAACAAACAAAAAAGAGGAATTAGAGTTATACTGTACTCAGCATTGGTGAGGCTGTACCTGTGTCCAGTTTTGGGCCCCTCACTACAAGAAGGACATTGAGGCACTGGAGTGTGTCCAGAGAAGGGCAAAGAAGCTGGTGGAGGGGCTGGAGAACAAGTCTTATGAGGAGCAGCTGAGGGAACTGGGGTTGTTTAGTCTGGAGAAGAGGAGGCTGAGGGGAGACCTTATCACTCTCTGCAACTACCTGAAAGGAGGTAGTGGCGAGGTGGGTGTGTGTCTCTTCTCCCAAGTAACAAGTGATAGAACAAGAGGAAAAGGCCTCAAGTTTTGCCAGGGGAGGTACAGATTGGATGTCAGGAAATACTTCTTCACTGAAAGGGTTCTCAGGCACTGGTATGGGCTGCCCAGGGAGGTGGTTGAGTCACCATCCCTGGAGGTTTTTAAAAGATGGCTAGATAGGGTGCTCGGAGATACGGTTTAGTGGTGGACAGGTACGGTTGGACTCAGTGATCTCAAAGGTCTTTTCCAACCAGGCAATTCTATCATTCTATGATACTGTATACAATGTTTTATATCTGAAATAACTTGAAAGTTCTCTATTTAGAATCAGAACTTTGGTGCTTCTCCTACCCTTCTAAAAAAATAATTTTAAAAGAAGTCATTACTTTGGCTAGTACAGGTTGGAAATATTTCCATTTTGTCTGTGAAAAGCTCTGAATTTTGTGTGAAGTGCAGAATAATAAAGGGTAAACATGAGTTAACCTATACATACATGGCAGTGTAG